GGGGGGGGGAGGGAGGGAGATGCCTTAAAATAGGATCTGTAGATTCATTATATGGGGCAAGAAGGGCTCAGAACACTTGAATTCAGCAGGTAGTGGGTTGTCACTGTTCTGGGATCAGCCATGTAGGCTAGGGACCAAGAGACTGTATTAGTAGCATGGCAAGTCAGAGGTGCTTTGTATTTCATTGCTTGGACGCTGGATCTTATATAATGCGATTGCCATTTCAGGCCTTGCTAGACCACAGATACAACTGGCATTCACCAAGTAACATAATACTCTCTCTGTGGCCAATTCTTCCTGTAACTTGCGCCAGACGAAACTGCTGCTGGTTAGTATCAACGACCTTCCAGCTAATCTGTGGAGCTGGCCAAACTGGAGTCTGAAGGCAGAGGGGTCTGCACAAATCTTTATTATTTTCAGCATCAGCAGTATTCTCATCAACTAGGCAGCAGTAATGGATTAGGCTGCACATTGCTTTTTCCTTGGATGGCTAAATCTTATATTACTTAGTTAAACTGTACTGGCAAATGCCTTTTCTGATCATACAGACATTTTTATAGGATAGAAGGGTGTTTGATTCTCCTAAAATGGTTTACAGATATTAAGGGTACACCACCTTTTATGCAGAGATAGGGAAGAGTTTGGAAAGGTCAAATACACAGAAAAGTGTAAAATGCTTAGCTGTGTATATTTTTAGATTTATGATAACAACAGTTGGGTTGGTAAGTAGAAACACACTCAAAGAACTGATGGAAAAACCTCTTTCTTGATTTGAAACAGTGTGTGTATAATTTCCATTTGGTATTTTTCCCTTATGTGGAAGAGTTTTTTGTTCCTTTACATGTATAGTAAATACAGAGATATTTCCTATACATTTAAATACATGCCCTAATGTATAGTAAATACAGAGATATGGTGGTGACACATACTGTAAAAGATCTGGTATTTAGTAGATTAATCTTCCCTCTCTTGAAAAAATTATAATAAAACCCCAAGAAGCAGTTTTATACCTTTTCTGGATTTAATTTAACTTACTGACATGATCAAAATTGCAGATTAGTAAATGTTTATGTTTGTGATTCATTTGTCATGAAACCGTGCTTGTTACTTTGTTGGGACTGGACTGTATAAGTGTGGTGGAGCACCTTTGGGCGGTGCTTGCCACTTGAGGGCTCTCAGGCTGTGAGGGGAGCCAGTTTGGGAGGAGCAGCAGGGGAAACCCTCCCCAGGAACTATTTTAAGGGGGAAGGTGTGTGGCAGGGCACTGTGGGTGCCTGCCACTTAGAGTGGAGCCAAGCAGCCAGCAGGTACTTGATTGCGGCGGCCATTTTAGATCTCTGGCCACCTATATAAACAGCGTAGTTCGCCGCTGGCGGCCAGGCAGTAACATTGCCTGGCTGCAAGGCTCCCCAACGACCTGGAGGTAAGGGCAGGAGCTGTAGGGGATGGCTAGAAGGCTGCTGGTCCTGAGCATGACCTAAAACTGCACCCTGCCAGGAGTGGGTGGCCTGGTGGGGCTCTCAGTGGTGCGGGAGCCCCCAGGAAATGCCAGGCCAGTTAGCACCCCAGTGAAAGGCATGTAGGGGCACCTTAACCCTAGCCCTTACCTTCGTGTGGGTTAAGTAACACCAGAGGTAGTTGGGGGGCCAGGCACGGCTGCAGCCACCTGAGCCCTGTGGGGTATAGGACCCCAAGTAAAGGTAGCCCCAAGTGAGGGGGTAGTGTGGAGCCCCAAGTGAAGGGAGTAGGCCTAGGTATGTCTCTGGACACCTGAGGCTGTAGTTTGGACCAGAGACCAAGTAAGGGGGCTCAGTCCGAGAGATAGGGGCGAGTCCTGACCCCAGTAAGTCCTCCACCTCTGGGAGGCCGAGTGTGGGTCAAAAGCAAGACCTGTAGTTGAGCACAATGACTTGCTGCTCCAGGGGAGGAGTGAGAGTCCCTGTGAGACTCTGGAACAGCAGCTGTGGTGTGAGTTACCCCAGCTCCCACAACCCCTAGTAAGGGCCAGAAGGCGGACCCAAGAGAGTGAGGGGCCTAGTGGTAGAGGTCTGATGTAGAGTAACCTTGACTGGTCAGTGCTGGGGCCAGGACCAGAACGGTCAAAAGGGCTGGGGGCCCACCACGAGGGATGCCCAGAGCTGAGTGCCTGGGGTTCCGACTGGCCCTGGAGGCGAGGCCAGGGCCTGTGTGGCCGGAGTCCCAGGAGGACTATACCTGAGAGGGGAAATAGTTTCAGGGAGCTAGGCAGCCCAAATGAAGGCAGAGTAGGCTGCCTGAGTGGAGAGATCCTGTAGGGGTCTGGACTGAAGGATTCTGGGGCCCAGTGTGGGGCCGGTGAGATTAACATCCGTGGATGCCATCTGTGAGGCTTGGGCTGCGGTGTAGGGGAGGAACGGAGTCACAGATAGTGCCCCATGGCATCGGGGCAAGAGTGGGCAGCTTCCCACCTTAATTAACATCCTAATTAATTAAGAACAAGGCATGGCAGGTGAGTCAGGTGGGTGGCATGCCCAAAGGCAAGTGGGGAAACTAGCATTGTGGCTAGTCGGGGAGTCCCACTTTGCCACAATAAGTAAGCAGTGTTTAATATCCTTCCATGGAAGAAGAAGAGAGCAAGGCAAGACAATTTTGCATACAGGGAAGGTGGAGGAAAAGGAAGTCTCTTACTTTTTTCTGTTGTTTATTGTACTAGTAATTAAAGAAAAACCCTATGACTGTCTCCCCTATAGAATCCTGTGACACTTTCCTTTGGAAAGCCAAACCACAAAATCTTTCCCTAAAGAATGCTTTGCATTTGAAAGCCTTGACTGTATCGAAATTATGGAGTTGGTCCAATAAGAGAGATCATCCATAAATTCCTTGCCTCTAAAATAATTCCCCATATTTTGTACAAGTGAGAGGGAACAAGCCAGCTTTCTTTAAAAAAAAAAAAACCTTTTTGGGGAAATCGGAGGTAAAACTTCCTGTACTGCATCAGAACTAATCATGAGTGTCCTACTTTCTCAGGCTAAATTTGACATCTTGCCAAAGGTCACATAGGGCAAGACACACATGGTAAAAACTGGATCCTTGATTACTGAGCCAGTCTTAAAGCACTGTGGGAGCCTGCCAGATTTTCAAGTGCAGTTAGCAGAGGGACATATCCAGCTGAACTTGACTTCCTGTATTTTGAAGAACAAAATAAGTGACTAAAAAAATAAAGTTCACATGCTATAGACAAGGATTCTAGGTGCTTTGGGGACCTGAACTTGAGATACCATAAGGAAACCTAATTTTTGGAAGGTTGTTTTTCACTGTGCTTTGTTTGAACTTACAAAATTGGAGGTGTTCAAGATCACTCAATATTTAAAAAAAAACCCCAAAAACACAGTGATGACAAACAAAATTGATACCTCCATGTCAGTGAGAGGTGGGAACTCTTTGGAAAGGGAAGAAAGGTGGATATACTGCCTTTTTATTTCTCTGAGTTAAGAAAAATAGTTAAACTGACATGGTTCCACAGTTTAACTCCTTCTCCATCCCATTCAATTCTTTAGGAACTCCATAGATCTGTACAGAGAAGAGCAAAAATCATTCTCTTCCCTGAGACAAATGCTTTGACATGCATTGAATTAATGGCTCCTCTGTAAGGCATTGCTGTTTTTTTAGCTGTGTGAATATATTCCCTCAACGTGATAAAATGCTCTGGGTTTTTGGTTCAGCTTGGCAGATGAACCAGTC